TGCTAAACAATTGTCATATCATTACTAAATCTGATGATTATTTCCACTGTTTTTGGCCTAAATGTCAATTCAAGACAACACATAGAAATCATTTAACTACACATCAATTTATTCATTCATCAATTAAACAATTTAAATGTGATTTTAATAATTGTAATAAACGCTATAAACAAAATGGCCATTTAAGCGCACACAAAGAACGAGTTCATTTAAATTTGTATGTAATTTCAATAAATGCCAGAAAAAATTTAACTCAAAAGAGTATTTATATAAACACAAAAGTTATGTTCATTTAAATAAAGACATATTCAAATGTAATGATGAAAATTGTGGCAAAAAATTTACATCATCAATTGGTCTTATTGTTCACAAACGCATTCATTCTGGAGAAAAACCATTTGTTTGTCAATTCAATGATTGCAATAAACGTTTTGCACAGAAATCTAATTTATATCGACATTTAAAGATCAAAAATCATATGTCAAAATGTCACCCTTCTTGAATTTTTAGTTCATGGTACTTAAATGTGTTGAATGTAGAATTGATATTGTAATCGATAAATTGTAATTAATAAAATTTTTCATTATGTGTTTCAAAACAAATCTTAAACTATACATTAATAAAAATCATTTTTTCTTATGCTAAACAATTATCTATTTAAAATTATTAATACAGTGTACTTAAAAAATACTTTGCCCTCACAAGTCAGGATATCTGTATGCAGAATATTTGACATTTATATTTAATATCATTACTATTAAATTTGATTAATTAAAAAATTTACAAAATAAGCATATATTATATTGTTTAAACTTGGAGTTGATGCTAGGACTTAATTAAATTTATCATGTAATTGTTAATATTATATTAAAAATTCTAATATAATTGATTTAATTTATTAGTGACTTGAGTTATTATCAGAGCTATACGGTATCTTATAGGAAATAGTCGGCCCACACGCCATCACAAGTTGCATGAAACGGGTCACTCAGTACAAGCCGTAAGTCCTTTGGGTCTAAACCGTGGACTTTGGGCGCACCCATCGGCTCATCGTTTAACAGTTGCGGCCAATCAGAGTCCATATGACTGTAAATTAATAATTTTAAATATTAATTCATATTGCATGAAAAATAAATAAACGATATCACTATCATGAAATTTATAAAATCTCACAAAATCTTAAATGTTAAATATCCAAATAGTAAACAATTAAAGTTACCCTGTTTTCGCAAATGTTGTCCACATTTTAATCACATATTTGCTAATAATTATATCATCGGTGGTATACTCGTTGGGATAACGTAGTGGTAGACCAAACACAAATGGTAGGTCCGACATGTGACAAATGCCCATGGTCGTTAGGTCGCAACCTATCTGTTTGGAGTAGTAATCGCTTCGGTATAACAACTCGTAAAAGTAAACCCTTTGCGACTCTTTGACAGTTTGTGCGAACCGTTTGGCGAACAGATATGTCGGACAACCGAGTGTTAGATCACTAAAAAGTGCGGCGATTGCTGTCCGTAGTGCCGACGTATCGCTAGTGTTGACACCTTTCAGGTAATATTCCGTTAATTTCGGTGCTTCTATATTATGAAATCCGAGCGATTCGATAGTTGTAAATGCATTGTGAAAGTCTGCGAGTGTCACGTGTTTGGGGTCTTTGACAACAGTGTCCAAACTGGTTGAGCCCTCGTCTTGTGTAATGCCAGACAATAAGTCGATATCTATTTATAAAACATAAATAATAAATAAATTTTACAAAATATAAAAACATCTAATCAGGGTTAATAAATTTTAAATTGATATACACTGTATATTATTAAGCACTAAACTTTTATTAAATTAAAATCTTAATTTCTACGCTGTTTACCATAATGCTAGTTAAGTTTAGAGCTATAAGAGAAGATCTAGGTTATTTTATTCTTGATTATTATAACATAAATTATTACCTGAATTAAACTTTTTGTCATGTAATGCCTGTCGGGTAGGAATGGGCAGAAACTCTGTGCCAAACAGAGGGTATGTGTCATGCGCTTCATATTTCACTAAATCCTTTGCGTCCACTCTTCGCAGACATTGTATCCAATCCTTGGTTTCATTGCATTTTTGGTCTTTGGCCATGAATTTGGCCAAAGATAAGGCTTCGGTCTTATTAAACACATCCCTATCCTTATTGTACAGATGGGCACCGCTTTGCATAATAGCCCTCTTGAATAGGCCTTTGGATAGCGGGGAGAGTATGTGTGCGGACACCGACCAACTCCCGGCGCTCTCACCAAAAATGGTGATCTGATCCCTATCTCCGCCAAAAGAGTGAATGTTTTCTCTAACCTATTATTATGTTATAAATTTATATTTACTTTGTTTTGTTAATGAAAAATGGTATAAACAAAAAATGATAGTTTGATACCCATTTTAAGCCTAATAACTGGTCATAGAGTCCGACATTTCCGGGCGCGTCCTCCCGATCCCCGTATAGGAACCCAAACGGTCCTAACCTATAGTTGACGGACACAACCACCACATCATGTGTGGCCAAAACACTGCCATTAAACCAATCGAGAAATATTGATCCCATATTAAGACTCCCTCCGTGTATCCAAAACATCACTGGCTTTAATGCTGTGGTATTTGTTGTCCATATGTTAAGCAACAAACAGTCTTCACTTTTGCCGGAGTCAATGAAAGGCATCCAATCGTTATGTTGTATACATGAATGCTTTGTTTTTGTTGCATCGATTATATCCTTTAAAATAATATGAATTTATTAATTGCATATTTTAAATTACAAAACAATTAACATTTTAGATTGCAATTATGATTTTTAATATATTTAAATGAAATCTATAATACTTACGGGAAATGGTTTAGAAATGGGTTCGGGTTTTGCGAACCTATGTTTGCCGACCGGGGGTTCGGCGTATGGAATGCCCACAAACTGATCCACATTTGTGTCCAACACATGTAGTGTCCGACCCCTTACTACTCCTATACTCGTCTCAACATCAATACTATTCACAGTATTTAATGTGAAATTCAAAATAATTACAGTGATGATTTTATTAAACATTCTTTTATGAATTACTTATTAACAATATATTAATATGAAATTAATGAATGATTTTTAAACAATATTAAATATTGTGCTAGTTCAGTTATGGTTTATATACACAATGTATTGGCTTATTTAATTATCTTATTGCCACATAAGTGCATACCTTTTTACAGTGCAGTTTCTAGACTTTCTAAAGTATGCACTCACTGTAGTGTTACACTAATATTAAATCAATAAATACCTATACATGTACTTTACCAATAATATTTTATTATAACCTTGCTAATGCTAATCAATATTATACCTGTGTATGGATTGAGTTAATATGTATAAGTACGAGTACAACCCGTCAACCACGTTACCTACGCTTGTTTTCTATCTCCGTCTATAGTTGTCACCTCCCACCCCCTAGTTGTGTAACGGTTTTGATTTTATGTGTAACGTTGTTTACTTTTGAATTACATCACTATTAAATGTATATATGATTAGAATTTTAATTAAAAACACGTGATTTTAATATTTTTAATTTAATTATTAATGATTATACAATATAATTATTATAGTTTATACTTTATTGTGTATCAAGAATTCTCTCTCTCTCTCTCTCGCCAAAATATCACTACATTTGCAACGGATTTAAAGAGATTTAGATAAATCGGTCAAAATTAGTGCATTTTTACTTTACCTATTGGTAAATAGCAAATAAAAATAATCGCTGATTGATATCTGAAAACATGTTTTTGGTATAATAAAAATGTAATGCAAATCATGTGTTAAGATAACCAATAGATGTACACGTGTTTTGTTAAAATCATTACTTGTACTGTTGGTTTTTGTTAATTGTTTTGTGATTTATTTAAGCAATATTTTAAAAATTGTAAATCTGAATTGATATACAAAATGTGCTCAAAATTAATGAGTGTTTCGTTGATTGAAATGAAGAGTAAATTAAATGCAATGAAGAGTTTGTGTGAAATAATAGACAAAATTCAGTGTATTTTGAATACAAATAATAGTGTTTTGTGTGAAGCGATTGAATGCGAAAATAATGATTATTTTTCAATCAATCAAACAATTGATTGCAATTCATGTAAAATNTGAAGCGATTGAATGCGAAAATACTGATTATTTTTCAATCAATCAAACAATTGATTGCAATTCATGTAAAATCAGTGATAAAATGCTAACCAATTGTCATATCATTACTAAATCTGATGAATATTTTCACTGTTTTTGGCCTAAATGTCAATACAAGACACAAAGTAAAAAATGTTTAGCTTCACATAAATTATATCATTCTAAAGCAAAACAATTTAGATGTGGTGTTAATAAATGTGATAAAGTTTATACAAGTTTATCAAATTTAAATCACCACAAAAACGCAATTCATTTAAATTTGAGATTTATTTGTGATTTCAATAAATGCCACAAACGTTTTGCATATAAATCGGATTTAATTAAACACAAAAGTTGTGTTCATTTGAATGAAAGGAAATTCAAATGTAATGAAGAAAATTGTGGCAAAAGTTTTGGCCAGAAATCAAATCTCAATCTACACAAACGCATACATTCTGGAAAACAATCATTTGTTTGTGATTTCAGCGGTTGTAACAAAATGTTTTTAATTTTGAGTTCATTACGAAATCACCAAAAAAGGCATAATAAAATTTAAATGTTTGCACAGTTTGTGTAATAAATATTTTGTCACTAAATATGAATTGATAAATCATATAAATAATAATCATATGATTGAAAAGCCATTTAAGTGTTGTATTAAAAATTGTGCCAAACGTTACGGAACCAAGGAATCATTAACGAGGCATGTTAATTCATATCACAATACTTTGCATTAAAATTAATTTATGTAAACATTTTGAATACAACTTTCATTTAAAATGTAAATTATATTTATTTATTAACCAAAATGCATTTGAAAACACAATCCTATCTATCATTTAAGTTTACATTATTCGTTTAAAATAATACATTAAATTATTTGTATTGAACTTTTAAAATAAAATTATTTTATGAATTTAAAGTGCAAGTTATAATGATAAATGCTATCTTTATAATTTTATAAATAATATTCACTCCATAAGCCGTCACAAGTTGTATGAAACGGATCCTTCAATACTAGCCGTAAGTCCTTTGGATCCAAACCGTGGACTTTGGGCGCACCCATCGGCTCATCGTTTAACAGTTGCGGCCAATCAGAGTCCATGTGACTAAAAATATAAAAATATACTAAATTAATTTAACCATGTTTAAATTAACCGTGTAATTATAATTGTAAGTGTAATATTATAAGTTGAAAACAATTATATATTTTTGATATAATATTTAAATGATAAAACAGTTTACCCTGATTTGGCAAACGTTGTCCACATTTTCATCACAACATTACTGTAATGAATATCTTCGGGACTGTAATGGTGTGGATCAAGTAGTGGTAAACCAAACACAAATGGCAATTCCATCATGTGACAAACGCCCATGGTCGCACTACAACCCGCTTGTTTGGCAAACCACTCGCTTTTATACAACAACTCGTAAAAGTAAACCCTTTGCGACTCTTTGACAGTTTGTGCGAACCGTTTGGCGAACAGATATGTCGGACATATGATTGATATATCACTGAATAGTGCGATAAATGCCGTGCGAAGTGCCGCAGGACTACTAGTGTTGACACCTTTCAGGTAATGTTCGGTCACTTTTGGGAAATCAATGTTGAAATAGCGGTACGACTCGAGCGCTTTCACACCATTATGAAAGTCGGTGAGTGCCATGTGATCCGGGTCTTTGACTACCATGTTTGCAAACATTGAGCCCTCATCGTGTGTTATACCAGACATAAAGTCAATATCTAATGTAAAATTTAAATAATATATTATTGTCATTTTATATTAAATTGTTATTTATATTATATTATTACCTGTATTAAACTTTTTATCATTTATAGCTTGTTGTGTACGAATGGGCAGAAAATCTGTGCCAAACACCGGGAATGTCATACCAGACGAACCGTATTTCACTATATCTTTGGCGTCCGCTCTTCGCAGACATTGTAACCAATCCTCGGTTTCATTGCATTTCAATTGTTTTGCAAGAGTTTTACTGTTAACTAAAGCCTCAGTTGTGTTAACCATATCCCTGTCTTTATTAAACATAAGAACACCGCTTTCAATGATAGCCTTTTTGAATAAACCCTTAGATAACGGGGAGAGTATGTGTGCAGATAAGGACCACCCGCCGGCGCTCTCACCAAAAATTGTGATCCGATCCCTATCTCCGCCAAATGAATGGATGTTTTCTCTAACCTATTATTATGTTATATATTTACACTTTATATTGATATTATTTCTATCATAAATAGAAATTTTAATTAAAACAAATGGTCAATTAATACCCATTTGAGAGCCAATAACTGGTCATAAAAGCCGACATTTCCGGGCGCGTCCTCCCGATCCCCGTATAGGAAACCAAACGGTCCTAACCTATAGTT